CCAGTCAATATCAGGTGTTGCATGACCTGTATAGTTAACCATCTCCATAACCTTACTGTTCAAAGTTAGCATTATAAAATAGGTAGGAAATTGTCAGGTTTTCTAGAATAAAATGCTGCAAATTCATCAAACATGAATGAAATAAATAATCCCATGTTAAAGTTTATGGTAGGACAGAAGAAAAAGTGCTTGGCAGTAAGAAACAATATCAGCCCCCCCCCAATAACCCTCTCAGCCTACTAAAGGATTATAACGCTTAAAGAAAGGAAAGCCATGAAAGGTATATAACCAACATATTTCCAGGATTAACCACAGGACCATGGTTATTTATCACAGGTGAAAAGTTGGCCGGGCGGGGCCTTGTAATCTATGCACTCTGGAGGCCGAGGCGGGCGATTGCTCGAGTTCTGTGTGTTTGTGTTGTTTTCTCTCTCCATAATAGATAATTATTATTTTAACTAACATATTGTTTTTGTTGCACGCATGCCTGTATCCCATTTGTGTGTGCTGAGGCAGGAGGCGTGTTTTGTGGTGGATTGGTTGCTGTGAGTAGCTGACGCCCGCACTCACTTTTTGTTGTCTATTGTACTCTTCTCAAAATGTGTGTTCCAGTTGTTTGTTGTGTGTCTTAACAAATATGTGTGTGCTTAATCAATAACCGTGCTTGTAGTGTTGCAGTGCTATGTTTTATTCAGAGCAAGGCAATTATCCTAGATGTGTGGCACAGTCATTCCTGGATGGGATTGTGCAGTTTTTCCTAAACTGCTTTGTGGCTCCAGTAGTAATTGGGCTTGTGTGATTCTTCCAGAAGTCATGTGAAAAATCTAGCTTAAATCTCATTAAATAACTATCCATGCTTTACTTACCATAAGACATGTTATACTGTTGGCATATATGTGCTTTCAGGGGAGTGATTTAGAAGCCTACATAGTAGATATCAAGAAATTATTGGCAGATTTGCAAACCATGTTAATAGATTTAGAAATATTTATTGGACAGTCAAATCAACGAGTTGATATATGATTTATGAATTAGTGTAATAGCTTAGTGTTTATTCAGATTTACTATCTTTTTTACGTTGGAATATTTGCTTTAGTCATGATTCAGTTGATCTTGCTTGAGTAAATGAGAAATATGTATTTTCTTTCTCCTGGCTAAAGGAATTGAAATTAAGGTTTTAAGTGCAAAATATATTTTTAGAAAGTTAGCCCTTTCTGTCGGGTTTGGGATTAAATTCACTTTTGAACAGAAAAAAACAGTAAGAAATGGTTACTTGGTGTTATGATAGAACTAAGGTTAATTCGACGTTGCTGCACGCTAGATTGATAAATTGCTTTAGCTATTGAAAATAGCCAGACCTCTGATGGCAATCACAACATGGAATCGTGATATACATGTAGTTTATCATGGTAAAAAGACAGTGCCCTGTTGTCATTGTTTTTCATTCTTAGACCCATTCAATCTATCACAGATGATGGTACCATACTTTCATGGTCCCGAACCCTCTCCGGTTTTATTATAATTAGACTTTGAAAATATGCATACCAACATCTACAGTATATATGGGAAATTTTAGCTGGTAGTTTAGAACTATTTAAATCAAATTTATTTAGTTAAAATAATGTATTGTTAATGTATTGACAATTAGGTGTTGGTTCATTAGTTATTGCTAATAAAAGCATTACTTGT